CCAGGCCTAAATGCCACTTCAGGAAAAGGAGCCCAGCTTTTTGAACAACAGAGGAAAAGAGCAGAAGAACATAAGTCAAATCTGGTTACGCCCACTGCTTTCTCCATGCCACAGTATCAGGGAGACTCAACCCTGACATATACCCCAGTTACTCCAGTCACACCCCTAACTTCTCATAGTAACAGTATGGTAAACGGGGAACCTTTGGTGGTGAGCAGGACAAGTGTTGTGTTGTCACAGACACCTATGCCATGCATGGCAGGAGCATTACCAGAGCAAGCAGACTCATCGGCTGCCAGCTCAGTGCACAACAGAACTGCCAGGCCATTTGCCTCTGGTTATGTGAGCCACCGAGCAGCAACTGCTCCAGTAGTCTTCAGGCCCAGCCCTGCCAAAAAGGCTGGATCACAGGCTCAGGCTGTGTCTGTGGCAAATATTCCAACTCCCTTCTCTCCTGCTGGCTCAGAAGGGAAGAAAGCCATCTCTACAACATCACTGTATATCCCTGCCAGACCAGCCACCTACAATGGTCCTTCCTCTGTGCGTTCTCCATCCTCAATCACTTCAGGTCCATTTTCTCCTCCTACTTCAAATGCTCCACTCTACTCCCCAAACTATTCCAGCACCTCAGCCCCTTTTTCTCCAACATCTTCTCATGTAACATATTTGAGTTGCCCTTCTGGTATGGCTCAGCCTTACTCTCCTCCCCAAACACAGGCAATGCCACTCAGTCCTCCGTACCATCATGTGGTTTGTACCCAATATCAGCCACCTCCACAAGTTCATGTGCCAGCACAGCCTTTCTCTCCCCCGTTCACAAATGCCCCAGGTCTTCCCAATGCCCCTGCCCCTGCTCCTGTCCATGCCTTTGCTCCTGCAACACCAAATGTGCAATCTTCCCCAGCACACAAAGTCTCCTTCAACCCATACATTTCTGTGGCATCCACTAATCCAGGAACACCAAATGCACCAGTTGCCCAGCAGTATTCTCTCTCCAACTCCACTGATGGGATCTCTTCTCGAGAGCAGCGGGTCTCAGTCCCTGCTGGCCGCACTGGCATCCTGCAGGATGCTCGTCGTCATGGCACCAAGAAACCAATGTTCAGTGCTAATGAGGAGAAGAAGGCTCCATCTTACAACCCTGAGCTAATGTCTCTAGTGCAGAACTTGGATGACAGGTCCTGTTTGGGTGTAGAGGCTGGGTTTGAGTCTGGCCCCGAAGAAGATTTTCTCAACCTGGGTGCAGAAGCTTGCAACTTCATG